GGTCTGTATGTGGGATCCGAACCCTCGGCGGGAGCACCGCCGCACTCCTAAGCGGCGCACTATAGCAGTGTGCCACCGGGCCGGCCTAGAACGAGGGTTTGACTAGGACAGGCTCATGACTTAAATATGAGGGTTAATTGTAGCAGGCTGGCTGATCCGTGGATGCCACAGCCCCCCAGCCCTCTCTGTTTTTTCTGACCTACCTGCGTGGCTTTGAAAGATGGTGACTGATCCATTGTCTAAATCTGAATCATATTCCCAAGTACAACTTCTCAGATTCTATTTTCTTTCCCTATATCCTCCTGTCTGTATTTTAAAAATCATTCTAATATGTCATTGGCATGTTTTATATAGTTAGGTTCATGTCTATGTTAAAATGTTATCTTGCATTTCCCTTAAATGACTTTGGACCAGGATAAGGTCCCCAAAGCTCTTTTTCAAGGTACAACTAATCAACAGTTCATCAAAGGAATTTTGGTTGTCTTTATTTGAGCATCACAGATCAGCCAAGAGAAGGATGCCAGAATGTTCTGAAAGCTCTAGTCTACTTGATTTAAATTCTCAGGATTCTTTTCTTCATTTAATCAATAGGTGCCAGTTATAGTGAGGCATTAGAGATATGAATACAAATATGACACAATATATGCCCTCAACAAATTTGTATTTAAGTAGGTGGAGACAGATCTATAAACAAAAGAGTGCCAGTAAATGTCCCCAGCACTTTGATTAGAGTCTGTCAGGCTGGGAGTGGGTGTTGGGGCTTGGGAGGTGAGGAGAGGTAAAAAAACTTCATGAAGAGTGTAACCCTTGAGTTGAATTTTCAACTGATAGATGTTGGCCCTATGGGCATGCTGGAGAAAAGTATGGTAGAGTGAGGGAAGATAAAGAAACATGAGACTGTGTTCTGTTTGGGGGTCCTGCGGGATGACCAGTCTAGCTGACGCATAGCATAGAGGCTAGAGTTTCATGAAAGGGGAAATCAGAGGGAAAAATGGAAATAGATTATAGCATCTTGACTTCCATGAAAATTAAAAATTTCAACTTGTAAGCAATAGATGGCCATTAAAGGGATTTTTTTTAGATGGAATAATGAAGGGCTCTGAACATGTCCCAGTAGTACCATATTGCTTGTTATTTCCTCGTAGGGCTTCCTCCTATATTCAGTTTAAATAAAATAAGTAATTATTGAGCACCTATTAACACAACTACCTGTGAAAGGGAAATCTATATTCCTTTTGGAAAACCAGTAATACTCTGAGCCCTCTCACATTAAACTGTCTATATTAAATTGTTTTCCCTACTTAGGAATGCAGGTGACATGATGGCACTACATTAATGGCACCACTTGGTTTATCAGTGTTTGCTTATTTAATCATGATTTTTTAAGCAATCAAAGGAAATCACTGAAAGAAAGTATACTATTTGAAAATGCACTGCACACATTTTTGTCTTGTTACTGGGCATGTGACCAAGTGATTCATGTTGACAGAATGGTTACACTCCGCTACACATCGCTGCCAAAAAGAACCAGATGGACATAGCGACAACTCTGCTGGAATATGGTGCTGATGCAAACGCAGTTACCCGGCAAGGAATTGCTTCTGTCCATCTTGCAGCTCAGGAAGGGCACGTGGACATGGTGTCACTGCTCCTCGGCAGAAATGCTAACGTGAACCTGAGCAATAAGGTAACCTTTTTCTTTCTCTACAAAGCATACAACAAAACCTCACCGCTTAGAAAGGTCACTAAAAATTCATGAAAAATCTGGGTCAAATAGAATGTGTAAAGTGTAATATTGCACAAACATGTTTACCAAAGTGTTATCATAGCAAAAACTTGGAAACAATCTGTTGAAGCAATCAGAATGGTAAATAAATAATTCAGCCATACAACTGGGTATATATGAGTGGTTCTGTGTATATACAACTATAAATATGAGGTCCACAACATTTTTGTAGTAAGATGAAGATATTTTGTTATAATGTTAATTCAGAGAGCAACATTGTTGCTTCACCAGAACAAAGCAAATAAAAAGTTGCAAATTGTAGCCTGTTGCTTTATTCCACAAACATTTTGGGGGCTCCTACTCTTTGCCTATCCCAAGTCCTAGATTACTAAAAGAAATTGGGAACACTGCTGCCTTCAGAGAGTTCATTTGGACAACAGGAATTTAGAGTAGCTATTTTGTTAAATAGATAGGAAAAGTTGTTAGCTTATAAGTCTAGCCTTTGTACGTAAGTTGGCAATTATGAAGGAACTTGTGAAGACTGTTTCTATACTCCTCAAACAGGCCTGCTCTCATCTTTGACATCTGCATTGTTAGTGAGGAAAGGACTGTAGTTTTCTCAAGCCAAGTGAAAGTTCACCCCACAACTCACCAGAAACATGTTAATGAACTTACTGCCTCTCATTGCATGTATCAAAGAATTTAGGGTTGCTGAATTGCTTATTAAGATCTGCCCACCAACAGTGGGGAGTTGCTCTTTAACAAGAAGCCTGAACCCAGAAGCATCCCACAGTTTTACAGGCCAGTTGGCTCACCCTGTAAGTCAATACAGGTCACATTAACACCTTCTATTATAAAACCTTCCCCTCAAATTCCTCATAAAACATACAGCAACGTTCTGAAACCTCTGAACTAAAACATTCAGCAGACATTTCTCTTTGTAGTATTCATGAAATGTGTTTTGTCTTTCTTTATTACTAGTATTTAAATCATTTTCTACTTGAATTAGATGGTGTCATTTAGTAAGGCTTTTATGAGTTCTCTATTTTTAAAATACAGACTTTTTTTTTCCTACATGTGAGATAGTTTTCATTTTAACTGGCATGTTGTCTGCCACAGGAATAGTGCTAAATGATGCACAGGAGACAAGAGAAATGCACTACGACAAGTAAAACACATTCTCTCACAGAACAAGGGTCTGTTTTCCAGGAAAGAAAAATCTTGTTCTGAAATTTACACACTAAGACCGTACATAATTGCATGAAATTTTTTTTTCTAAAACATTTTTCATTCATGAGTATTTTCAAGTTGTTCATAGCATACATATTTCTTAAAACACATAACAGCAGCAACCAAAAATGAATGCTGAACTTAGAACACATGTGTTATCTACCTCAAGGTAACAAAAGTACGTGGCAAAACTTATACCACCCACAGTGCTTCACGATACGCACTTCTACTAAGTCTGTGTTAATTATAGTAACCTAGTCTTAATAATATTCATTCACTATTTATAAATGCTCTGGTATGCATTCTTTATAATGGAGTGTGAATACATCACATCTTATTTTAGCAAATCAGTATATATTCTGTATTTAATTATACAAGTAAAAGTTAACTTAGTTTTAAAATTTTATTTGCAAATACACTTTTTCCATTTGGCACTATGCTTTGTTGCCTACCTAGCTGACTATATAATGTCAGCTTACCCTAAGGCTATACACATGCTTAATATACTTAAGTGTTCATTTTAGGTAAAGTGCTCACTGTGTATAGAAATGTACATTTTGGCAGTGCTTGAGCTAGCCACACACACACACACACACACACACACACACAAAGTGGGAATTGCTTCATTATAAAATGCTTCTACAGATCCTTGTACCAGCCAGTAAATAAATAAATAAATAAACAAACAAATAAATAAAATGCTTCTAGGAGTCTTAATCTTGTTTATTTAAAAAAAAACATTTGTGTGTATTGAAGTAATTAAGGTACATCACTACTATACTTGAAAAGCTATACATGATAAAACATACTGAGTGATCTCTTTTTCATCCCAAGGAAACCATGAATAAAATTAGATTAAATGTTTAAAAAAAAAAATCTGCCAAAAACATAGGACAAATGTTTCTAAGTCTTTAGACTTAGAGGAAACCCTGCAAAAGGGCCCCAAATTCCTAATAATCCATACTTTCTGGCATTTAGATTCTCTTCTGCCTAATCAGGTGATTGCAAAGCTGTGGCATTTCTTAACCATAGCTCAGATATCAGAGTTTCAAAATAGCAATAGACTTATGGTACAAATAGTAAATAACTTAGATATTTTTAACATATGTGGCCTGTGTTTTGAAATCACAAAGTGTTTGAATCCTAAGTCTGACTCTTCCCAGATGTATAATCTGGGCAAGTTAGGTGGCTTCTCTGAACCTCAGTTTTATCCTCTAGTAAGTGAAGATATTACTGTTTACTTCACAGAGATATTGTGAGGATTATCTGAGATAACATTCAGCACCTTCTTTTTTTTTGTCTTTTTTTTTTTCGTGTCCGGCAACGGATCACAACCCTCAGTGTCGTGCCCGCACCAGACCGGGACCGGGAACAGGATCGCAACCCTCGGTGTCGCGCCCGCACCTCGCTCAGCCAGTGAGCGGGAACCGGTCTGTATGTGGGATCCGAACCCTCGGCGGGAGTGCCACCGCGCTCCCAAGCGGCGCACTGTAGCAGTGCGCCACCAGGCCAGCCCCAGCACCTTCTTTTAAGTAGAAAGAAATAGTTGTTTTAATTTTGAAATTATCACAACTTTGAAAAAGGAGAACTCTATGCTAATCTGAATTCCCAGCATTATAA